ATTCATACAATTGATATTTTAAGGACTTAACAGGTTATCTCAAGAATAGGCTGCTATGAAAGGCAGACCTGTTGGAGACAGGGAGGGAAACATAGAGACCGGGGAAGAGAAGGGCAAAGGTATGGAAAATGACCAAAATGCGCTGCATAAATGCACTCATTCTCAGAAACGAATGTAACTATGATGTATAGCAGACATCGACTAATGAAACTTTTCAAAATAAACAAAAGCCAGTTTGGTTTATTTTACACTCTTGTACACTCTCTAACCCTGGCCATGCAATACTCCCTGCGGCGTAGGAATCTGCCAGCAAAAATACTGTCCCCAGATGTTACCCTTCCACACTGCACCAGAAACACAAACCAACATAAACTTCTTTATTTATAATTTACACAGCTATAGTATTAGCAAAAGGAGAAAGAGAGAGACAGCGATAGAGACCGAGAGACAGAGACACAGAGAGAACCGTGAGGGGCTGTTACACAAGAGACAGCTAAATCACATCACTTTCAGGAGGACCTGAGTAAGAAGAACAATCCGGAAAAAATTCATTCAACCTCAGTGTCTAAACCAAAGGAACATAAGAATAATGAGACAGCATTACTTGATTACAGACACCTAGAAGGACACTGCCCAATTGCCTTGCAATTGAAGCCTGGAAGTAAGGCATTTGCGAATGTGAAGGTCTTGCTTTGTCAAATTTCCTCTATCCAAAACAATTATGCTAGGAGAACCAATGTTGGAAGGGATTTCAGAACTGCTGAAAAGGAGGATGTCAAGCATCAGAAGCTCACTGTGCCAACTATGTAACTGCTCTGTGCCACTCCGTGCCACTGTCATTATATCTGCACCCAGGAGAGAGTAACATGAAGATTGTAACAGTTTATGACAGATTTTAAAATGAAACATTACCTTGAAAAGCTTACAAAAAACCGGAAAATGAGCACATAGCTATTAAAGCAAAAGTCATGTTTGCAAACTAAAGTGACTATTTAGTCTTCATGTTAATATTTAAATCCTGCCTTAAATGTGTGGGAATGTGTGATATACGTCTCTATAAGCTGACAACTGCCAAGCTGAGAAAATTCTGTCATGATAATAGTGTCAGTCTCAATTAAAAAATAATACTTCTAAACTTTGGAAGTTCTTTTAGCATGTATAACTGAGATCAAGCAAAGAGATGACTCTCATTAGAGACAGTACTAAATTTAAGTTACAACTGAAAACTTTCAGCCCTTGGTATCAGTGGCCATGAGAGTGGAGTGAAATGTTCACAGGATCTAGACATCTAGTATTTCTTTTCTTTCTTGTTTTTAGATATAACTTTGCTATGTAGGTCAGCTGGCCTGGAACTCACTAGGTAGCCTAGGCTCACCTCAAACCTGTGATGATCCCCCTGCCTCAGCCTCCTGAGTGAGTGCTGAGACTACAGGCATGCACCATCACACCGAGCTCAGTGTTTCTTTTGACCACACACAAAGGAAAATTCCATCCCCTATGTCTTCCTCATAATCAAAACATTAGGCGTTATTACGGTTTGGTGCCTAAATGTCCCCCAAAAGCTCATGTGCTAAGGCTTGGTCCTCAGTGCAGCAGTGCTTAGAGGGGGGGGGTCTTTGGAAGGTGATGGGATTGTGAGGATTCTGCCCTCACAGACGGATTCACTATTCATGGATCATGGCTTAGTGAATCTGGGGGAAGCCCCTTTGTTACAAAAGCTCTTTCTCTCTTTGATTCTTGACTGCCAGGGGCTGAGCAGCTTTGCTTCACACATGATCCCCCACTGAGATTCCTATGATCGATATTTTAAGGGGTTAGCAGGTTATCTCAAGAACACACTGCTATAAAAGGCAAAGGTGCTGGAGACAGGGAGGGGAATCAGAGAGATGGGGGATGTCTCTGCCTCGGCGTGGGCCTGAGAGACATGGAACCAGCTGACCATGGATGGAAGACCATGAGACAAAATGAATCTTTTCTGCTTTAAATTCATTTCCTCAGGTATTTTCTCACAGCAAGGGTAAGTTGACTAATACAGGCAATAAAGTCGCAATTGAATTAGAGAAGAGCTTCCAAATGAAATCATGTAAGAGTGAAACAAGCTAACACAAGAACGAACGGTATCCTACTTCAAGTTCATGATTATATAGCTGTGTTTTGGGCAGTTGGGTCTGACTATGGCAGGCCTATTGATAACTTGGTAGTGAACATGTTGAGATAAGATAGAGATTCAGTATTAAAACTCACACCACTTTGTGCAAAAAGATACTCACATTTAAGGGAGAACAGAATAATTCTTTCCATGAGACTAATCCTCTCATCCCCGTAAACGCCATACCACCACACTCTCACAGAACAGAGTCCCTTAAATCTGTCTTGTGAAGACGAAAGCAGCATCCACCATAAGCACAGAAGCTGACTATCAAATGTGATTCGGGTGCAGCTGCAGACTCTCCTTGTGGCTTCGCTGTCCCTTTGTCCCAAGAATAAAGACCCGCATCCCCACGTCTGCTCAGTATTTCCTCTGCTGACCAAGAGTTACCCTCAGCCTTTGTTTTTTTCCAGATTGCCTTGAAGTATTAAAAAGTCCATCATGGGCTCTGATCATGCACCTCAGTTGTAAGGCTCCACTTGTGCTACAGTCTAAATGTTTGTGTCTTCCCTGCCACACACACACACACTCAGAATTCACAGGTTAAGACCTAGTCTCCAAAGTAACGGTGTCAGAAGGTGGAAACTGGGAGCTGATTGGTAATGAGGACTCCTCGCTCATGAACGGGTTAGTGCCACTGTAAAAGAGGCCATGGATATCTGCGGGGTTCCTTCCACCCTACGAGAACACAGATTTGCTAGTGCAGACTTGGGCTTCTTGGTCTTGAGAATTACTAAAGATAAATTTCTGTTCTGTTATAAATTACTCATCATGAAGTCTTTTGCTATAACAGCCTGAATGAGCTAACATAATCTAGAAGGCCACACTTAGGTTTTCTGGAAAAGACTACAGCTTGAGCGCTGACCTTTTTGCTACAAATCTGGGTAAAGACGTAATAGTCCAATCCCCTTATTGAAATATTTGGGGCAAACTACATAGTTCTTTATAAATTTACAATAATATAACAAGCGCCTGCAAGGAAGTGTTGGACTTTAAAAGACAAAAGTTAACTGGCAATATATGTGAAGATCTGTGTAATAATCAGTCACATCCTTCCATCATCCTTCTGTGAGATCAGCTTATTAAATAAAGTGAGAGGCTATGAAGAACTGTAGGAACTATCCCATAGGGTGAGATTTAGAAATATTAATATGCGCCTTCGCCATATTCATGGGATAAGGCTCTGTTATGTTTAAAGTCCCACAAAAGCCTCAAGTGTGTGGAAATTAATCTGACCATGATAGCACTATGCTCACTAGTAGAACCATTCACTGAATGGTAGCTGAATGTGCTGTCAGGTGGTCGGGGCTGGGTTAGAGTTGGGACATGTGACCCGGAAGGATGTACTTTTGTTCTGGCCCCTCCCTTCTCTCTCTGCTTCCTGGCTGCCGGACTGAGCAACTTTTCCTCTGCCATGGCCCTTTGCCATCCTTTTTCTCCTTGGAACCACCAGCAGTGGAGTAAAATGGTAAACTAAAATGAACCTGTCCTCCTTTAAAGTGTGGATGTTGGGTATTTTGTCCCAGAAATGAGAAAGTGACTCAGAGGGTTCTTTTCATGAACACAGTATAGCAATGAGATGAAAACTCACTTTATTATTATTTACTCCCTAAGTAAATCTAGCCAAAAGCAGAATTTCTTAAATCCCAACCAAAGGGTTTTTATTAGTAGTAATGTTATAGGATCATACTATAATGGAGCTTAACTATTGAAAAAGTTTCATCACACAAATGTCTACAAAAAAGGTCTAGTGAATTATACATAGAGGCATAAATTATATATTTATAAATAATATGTTTATATATGGAAATAACATAATTATCACATAATACGCACATATATGTGTATTATAAAACTCCCAAATTATAGCAAAGAATGTTTAACTTTGATAAAATTCGTAATTATGCTACCTAAAAAACAAATGACAAAGAGATCCTAAAACATAATCTACTACAATTTTCTAGTGTTTTGCTTCTCATTACATCTTTAATATTCCACAGTATGAAAATAAAATTTTACTGAGTTTATAACATTAATGTGCTTCCAAAGTTGTCTAATTTTAAAATAGAGAAATACTTAACCAGAAAAAGATAGAAAAATTTTGAGTTCACTAGTAAAATCATAAAGTATATATGCATGTGTACATATATAGAACGTATTCATTGACTCACAAAACCTATTTGATTGCCTGTTCTCATGACAGTAACATATAAAGGTTTTACTTGAAATGTATCACTTTAAACCTTGCTATCTACCAGAAGAAAGAGACACAATCATGCATGCTTCCTTGTAAATGTGGGAAATAAGTTTCACGGAAGTTAAATTATTTACCTGAAGTCATTCACTTCTTAGATGGCAGAACAAAACCACTAAACCAAGCTGTCAGATTATAGAGCTCTTTCATAAAAGGCTTTCTAAAAAGTTACAAATGAGTATGCTAGTTCCTGAAAGGATTCTAAGAAGAATTTAGCTCAGTTACCATCTTTAAGACTAGGGATATCTAAAAGTCATAGAGGCAATAACGACATATATCAGTTAGAAAGACAAAATGTATTTCAAAAGAGAAGAAGAAGAAGATGCCACTGTATGATCATTTGAGAGGAGAACAGACACTATGCAGTGTCGTTGGCCCCAAGCAGCAAGGAGGGTTTCTGATACTCCTTGTACGCTACCTAATCATTCTACCCCTGGATCTGTGAAACACACAAAATCGATCTCATGCCTTTAGAGCTGCTCAGCCTCCATAGAATTACAATAAGGATGTTAGAGATGGATTGTAAGGAATAGTGGTGAATGTTTCTGCTTTAATATTTGTCAAGAATTTCAATTATAACCAAGTAAATGAACTTACTTCGAGAGAGATTCTCAAGGGCTTTCCCCAGCTTCTTGCTCTCCTGAAGGATGTGGTTCAATTCATCAAAATCACGGCTTTCTGGTTTAGTCCGCCAGTTCCATCTAGGGTGCTCTACTGACCTTGGCACTATGTTTAAAAAAAATGGTTACTTCATAAGCGTGCTATATATGATTCAGACTCACTATTCGTTACTATGTGCAAAATTGCACCAAGATCAAGTGGTTCTTGTGAGCAAACAGAAGGAAAGATGTAAAGTCAGTTAAAATTTTTAACTGAACAAGTAAAGGAAAGTGTGGCAGCATTCATGAAGAAAACAATATTCAGGTATTTAATTTAGGGGCCGGGGATATAGCTCAGCGGCGCAAGCGCCTGCCTGGCAAGTGCAAGGTTCCAAGTTCAATTCCCGGTACAAAAAAAAAAAAAGATTTAAAGCTAATAATTTCTGTAATTTAAGGGGAAATATGCAAGCAAAGCATATTTGTATTATGTTATGTTCTTAAAAGCAACTGCTGACAATTTTTGCAACTAACAAATATTTTAAGATATTTTTTCTATATCTTAATAAAACAAAAAAGATAAAATGCATATATTTACCTTTACTTCCTCCCAAATTACCACTAAAATTATGTTATATTCAAGGGAATTTTTTTCTCTCAAATAACTAGTTGAACAAGGAGAAAGGATATTGTTAGACAAGAAATGATTTTTGGAAGATGGACAATGAGTAACTAGTTAGTGAGATAGAAAAACTGAAAGCAAAGTCCAGGAAGAGAGTGTTAGTTAGATCAGCAGCATTTCACACACTTAGACATTGGAGAATCACTCAGGGGAAATGCTATAGTCATACAGGTGTGAGAACTCAACTGTTTTCCAGATATAAGGGGTCCACTGAACACCAAGCACAATCAACCCATATTATAAAAATGTTTAAATATTGACAATAAAGAAAAGATTCTAAACACTTTTAGATACAAAAATAGCAAATCAAATTGATATTAGACTTCTCAGCAGCAGTACTTGCCCTAAAAGACATGACAATCCCCTTCAAAGTCTGATTGAAAATTACTTCTAACTCAGAATTCTATATTAGCTAATGAATCAATCAAGATGCTTAAAAGACTCAAGTTTTATTTCACAAACCCTCTTTCCCAGGAAGCTGGCAAGGGAGATGCTCCAACAAACTGAAAAATAATCAAAAAAACTGCCAGAAAGTTGAAGAAACAAGTGATCTCCCAAAAAAGAAAGGGGAATTCTCAGGACAATAGAAAAGAATGGGATCATAAAGCAGCAAAGAATATTCCTAGGAACCAAGGGCCCTAGAAACCAAGAGTAGAGCATGAAGACAGAGAGTTACAGCAGAGACATTTCCAAGTCTTTCCCGATGATTTTTTTAAAAATATAAAATAAAACAACATAATATAGGATTACAATTATGTGATGTGTTTGACCATGTTATTAAGGTTTAATTCTTTGGGCAGAGTTTGGTGAAGGATTAGTGATGCAGTGATGAATACATAGAAAACAAAGTAAAACAGAAAAGAGAAAATTGTTAATTCTAGAAAATTCAATAGTTGGACTTGGTAATTCTAAAAGAGTTAATTAAGATAGTTGTAGCTATATCAATTGATATTTAACCAACAGGAGATAATTAAATTATTGTACACCAGGATGAGATGGGTGCTAGTATATGAAGCATAAGGTAAGGAGGACAAGAGATGATGCCTTAAATTGGAAAAGGAGAACTGTGTTAGTACTTTGGACAGTCAGATGTGTAGACTTAGCCCAAAGAGACATCTACAACAGGTGAAAGTGATTCCAGTTAAGGGTGGAAAAAAAAAGACACTACTATTTCATAGTATGACTTTATTTTTTAAATCTTGTAGTTTTATACTGACAAAAATAAAGTATTTTTAAAAATTATTCAATTAGTAAGGATACAGAAAATAGTCTCAAACTCTTAAAACATATCATTCTGCCACCTTTTCAAAAAGTAATGCACTTGCTCTGGGACGCAGCAGTTTTTTGTCTGGTAAGCCATCATAAATAAAAACACCTGTACTTGTATACTGTACATGTACAAAATTGTTCATTTTTACAGAAAGTGCAAATATCATTTTATCAAATCATCTACGGTGGCAAAACCTCAAAATAATCTGAATATCTTTCAACAAAAGAATGGTTAAATAAATTATGGCCCATTCACATTATGCTACAATATGCAATTATTAATACTATAAGTAAAACCTGAGTTTATTACCATATTTCCAAAATGCAATTTAAAATAATAAAATAAGTACTGTAAACCTTCGGAAGGTTTACAGTTTTAAGCCAGTTTCATAGCAAATCACCATATATATTACGTATGCTCGTGTGCACAAAGAAAATGATACAAAAGGGTAAATCAATTTCTAGGGGAACTCAATGTGATGGGTAGGAATGGGGAAAACTATTTATCTTTCTACTTGTGTGTATTTGCTAAGTTGTCAGAATAAGAAAGTATTACTTGTATCATTTAAATAAACCTAAAAATTTAAAACTTTTAAAAATATATAGGATGCCGCTGGTTCATCTTGAGCCTCTCTGTTTGAGAGACACTTAGACAGAGGTATCCACAACATTAACATTCTGACATTAGAGCTGTCAAGGGTGCACAGGGCTACTAATCAATCTGGAAAATGTTCCCAGACTTTTTCTACCACCGGCCATTCCCCAGGGGATCCCTAAGAACGCGTCAAGACCCAAGAGAAAGAAGCTCAGATGAGGGAGCAAATGAAGCAATATTCATACCAGATTCTTCAAAACATCATTTGTATTTTTAATCATCCTTGAACAATCTCTAATCTGCAACCTGTACCTCTGCATTTTCTAATTTCCTAGAAAATACCATGACTACCGAGATCTCGCTCTCTCCCTCTCTCTCCTTTTTAATTTATTAGCAAGAACACAAATTTCTTAAAAATCCCAGTCAACACCCTCAGATAGCCACCAGACATGCGCCAGCCGCTTGACACCCCAGCTGAGCCCAATGCGAGCCCACATGTGGAGACCAGCGGAGGAACAGGCCAAACTGGCCAGTCAACACCAGTTGACTAAAATTATCTGAAGCATGCTTTCTGACAAAAACTGTGCTGTTAGAAATAAGTTACAACCCTCCTTGCACCATGTGTTAAAATTAAAAGGTTCCTATGAGAGTCATTGTTTAATGGTACACCATATTCTCTATCTTTCTCCATAGTCTATCTGGAATTGAGAATTATATGTATTCTAACTTTATTGGTCACAGTGATCTATAAATGTCAACTCAAGGTGGTCAATAGTGCAACAGTCTTCCACATCCTTGCTGATGTTTCTGGTTTACTTAATCTGTCTACATCTCTCTTTAGTTCTGCAAATCATGTAGCTAGGTAGTCATGTAGCTAGGTGGCATCCTACCAAAAGCAAAGGGGCTTCAGAATGAGCGGGCCTTGACATTCCCTTCTCAGTGATAAATGATGGGATCCAAAATTGGCTGTATAAATTAATAATCTGCTAGGGTCAGGAACTCATCATTAGCAGACAGAAGGAAAGATGGAGAGGGAGACAGGAGAGACAGATCCATGATGGAAGGGAAAACTGAGACACAATTCATTTTAATTTTTATTTCTTTCCTTAGTCATTTTTTTTCCATTCGGTACTTAGTAATTAACTTAGGCACTGTGTTGGACACTATTAGATACACTGGTGTTAATGAGCCATGCAAATTTTAAACTTGTTTATTTTTATTTTTACTAGGACATGTTCGTAGCACTTAATGATTACATTTATCGTCGGAAATTCAAACATGTGCCTAACACATCTTAATTCTTTTTACTTCCCTGCCCCTCTCCTCCTCTCCACTCTTATATGTCTTTAAAATTGTTGAGGTTTTATGTACTAACCTTGTGAAGGGGAAAAATTTAATTACAAACTTAATTTGCTAAGTTTATAATATTTCATACAGCCTTCACAGTAACTTGGTGTGGTTGCAGTAATACTACTTATACGGACTAGTATGTACATAAATGAAGATCTCCAGAGTTAATTTCAGTGTCTTTCACAGATGTCCCAGGTAGAGATTTCAGTTAACATGTGGTTTTTCAAACACTTTCAAATAAAAATAAACATTTTCAACCTACTCCCTTCTCTGCTGAAATTAAAAACAGGCATCTCACTATGTAACTCATGTATGGGAAGAAAACTTTGCACGCTTTTGTCTTCCAAGAATAAATGAAATTTGCTACAGCCTTCTCACTACTTAAGAAGCTTCTACCTATGCAGCAGCAGAGCAGTGGAGCAAACTAGTGGTTACTACGGCAGTGGGAAAGGAAGAGGAACACAGACAAAGAAGGATACTAAGGGTAACAGTATAAAAACAAATACAGGGATTTCAGCACAAGCAATAATGGGTAGGACTTCAGGAAGATCCTAGGTAAAGGATTTTAAAAGTTTTAAAAATTTACTTTTTATGTTTATTAGTACATGTTTGTAGTATAAAATGGTTCTGTTCATCATGGGGAACTGGTATACGTACATTACATACCTTAATAATTTTCCCCATCCTCCATTTCTTTTTTATTAAATATTTGGAATAGGAATCCCCTCTACTTCTGCTCTAAAAGACTTTATTTACTTTTATATATTACAGTAAAAGTGAATTTGGTTTTGTTTTGAATATCATATTGTGTTGCACCTGGGCACAAGAGGCAAGGGACCCTTCGAGTCATTCATCATCTTCAAAGAATGAAAAACTAGAAATGGCCATTCCGCTACACGTTTGAGAGGATAAGTAAGATGTTAATGTTGAAACGGAAGTGGAATTCATCCCAGACAGAAATATCAGATAAAAAGTTGGACTTCAATTGTCACCATTTCTTCGTTTTCTGAACCATATAGACTGAAAAACTGAATCACACTTGAAAATAAATTTACTCACATGATTTGGAGTCCAATGATGGGGGCGAAATATTAGACACAGCCAGGTCACTTTTTGACTTTTTAGGCTTCTTTGCATTTAACTGCCAAGGTTTATCGTAGCTTCTAAAATCTCTTCTTGTTCCTTTAGTTTCTGTTAAAACAAAATAAATATAAAAAACCAGTTATAAAGGTGAAAGAATTTTGGTGATAAATCGTAACATCTTCCAATATGAAAGATCACTAAAAGGAGCTGGGGGGAATAGGAGCTAGGATAGTGTGAACTTTTTAGATTTCTACTTTCAGTAAGGAAGAAAATTATATTGATTCATATCCAGCAAGGATATTTTGATGTAGCTGGTTCCAAAGAGACAAGAAGCAGCAACTCATCCCATCAGCCTTGCAAAGAGACACTGGATTCAACTATTACTGGAATTTTCAACAGCAGGCATGATTATCAACCTACATAAAATCTTGAAAGAATCCAAATACAGTAGCTTTAAGCTATATGACGAGGCAACAAAGAAGACGCCACCTACACTAATTTATTAATAAACCTAAAACTTGATAAAATGCTTCACATTTCAATTTGAATAAGCAAAATAACACCATTCTAAGAAAAAATTAGTATAGAAAAGAATATGAGCTGAACTCAGGGTCCCAAGTTTCACTCCACTTTAGGCAATTTAGCAATTTAGATCCTATCTGAAAAAATAAAAATAAAAAAGAAGCC